ATACCTCTTATAATAGACCATATATCAGTTGTATCAAGCACATTTGTGCATATGTTGCCATTATCATTTTCAGAATATTTTCTTTCTACTTGAGCCCTTGGTATCAACTCAATTAAAATTTTTTTTTCCAACCCTGAGGATGCAATCTTAGGTATTTCAAGTTTACATATAAGTAAAAATAAATCTTCTTAAAGTTTTGCATGTTAAGTCTCAGGCACACCTGGAACTTATTTTAGGTGTGTGGTAGGAATCTGCTAATACTTTTCTTTTTCACAGAGCTAACCAATTGTTGTAGTACCACTCATCAGCTAATCATCAATTCTGTTAAGTATTGAACTTCCTGATCTGTGTATGTGTCAGTCTCTGGGCTCTCTATTCTGTTGACTAATAAGTTGTGTTTATTTTTGTCTTAATTAGTTGTAAAATAAGTCTTAGATACGGTTCAGGGTAGGTTTCCTCTTTTCCCCACTTATTTTTCAAAATAGTATTTTTAGCGAGTTTGGGCTTTAGTTTTTTTTGTATGAATTTTATCTCAATTGTTCTTATCTTTTAAAATGTTAAATAGTAAGTTTATTTGCATATATATTTCAAAAAGTACAAAGACTTAATAAAATTTTTAAAACTCCCCACCTTATCCCTAATCACTCAAGGATTCCAATAATTGAGTTTTCCAATATCTTCTGTATGCATACCTAAGTAGTTACAGATTTATAAATTTTTCACTTAATAGATCCTCTTATATAACTTCATTGAGAAATTTATTTAATTTTTTTTAGCAATATCTAAGAACTTGCTCATTCTTCTTAAGAATGCGTAGTATTTTATTGTATTTACCAATGAGTTTTGCTATCACTCCTAAAAGACATTTAGGTAGTTTATAATCCTTTGTCATTAAGGACTGGCAGTGGATTCATGTACCTATGTCATTTTGCATATGTATCTCAGTGTCCTTTGATGTATACCTGTATCATTTTATATATATATGGATCTCTATTTTCATGAATACAGTTTAGCCACATTGCTATTATAGATTCCGTATTTAAATCTTTCAGTATTAAGTTATTGAAGTCTAGTTTGCATACAATAAAATGCACTCTAAGCATTCAGTTGAGTGTCCGCATCAAACAGCCTTGTCTTGTTCCTTTGGACTAGTCGATCCCTTTCCCTAGCTTCTTGGCAACCACTGAACTGATGATACCTCCTAGATTTTCCTTGCGGTGCCCTCGTGGCAGAGTGGGTTTAGTGTGGAACTGCTAACTGAAAGGTTCATGGTTCAGACTCACCAGCTGCTCCATGGGAAAAAGACGAGGCAGTCTACTTTCATGAAGATTTACAGCCTCAGAAACCATGGAACAGTTCTGCGCTCTCCTGCAGGGTCACTATGAGGTCGAATTGACCGGACGGCTGCGGGTTGGTTTTTTAACTTTTAGATTTGCCTTTGCCAGAATGTCATATAAATGTAGTCACCCAGCTCACACCCTTTTGTGTCTGGCAGCTTTGACTCTCCACCATGCTATGAGACATTCATAGCCTTGCTGTATCAGAATGCATTTCATTGCTGAGAAGCACCTGATGTGCCACATTTAACCATTCACTTGTTGGCATTTGCGTTTTTATAGTCATTGGTGATTATGTAAAGCTCCTGTAAACATGTCTTTATATAGACAGCAAAACCAAGAACCATACTCGCTGCTATTGAGTCAGTATATGCCAAGGGGCCTCAAACATTTATTGGAAAAGCAGGATTGATGAACCTACAGGCTTAACAAGTAGAATAAGAGTTTTGGGGGCTATGGGGGTGGAGTAGGGGGGTAAAAAGGAGCTGATAGCAAGTTCAAGAAGGAAAATGTTTTGAAACTGATTTGTAACAATTGTACAATACTGCTTGATGTGTTTGAACGATGGAAGGATATGATGGTTTTAGAAAAAAATTCATGGAAAAATACCATATTCTCAGCTCGAGTATGACCTAGGAGTGGACTTGCTAGATCGTAGGGTAATTGTAGGAGGTGTAGTGGTTAAGTGCTTGCCTTCTCAGCGCCAGGTTTGACCCCACCATTTGCTCCATGAAAGGACGATGTGGCAGTCTTTCCATAGGTCTCCCCGCCTTGGCGATCTCCTGGGGCAATTCTGTGTCCGACAGGGTCAATTGGAGAGCAGTGTGTCTTTTGGCTATAGTAATTGTATGTTTTACCTCTAACAAACTGCTCGGTTTTCCCGAAGTCACTACCATTTTGTACTCCTACCAAAGCTGTATTGGAGTTCTACACTGTACAAAGGGGTGCAGTGGAAAATGGAGTTGAAAGATAGTTCAAAGTAATTTACACACTTTTGGAGACCCCCTGTTTTGTCAGTTAAAATTTTAGTCAGAGGGTATCGTGGTTTTTAAAATTTTCTTTAAAGATCATTTTAATGGGGGGCTCTTATTTAATTTTGGCTAAGATATTAGTGTCTGCATTATTTGCCATCCCCTCGCTTCTCCCTCCTCTCCCTGTGGCCCAGGTTGACCCCCATATGGCGCGAAGGGAGAGACAAGAGAAGAGATTGGAGTGGCCTGGCCCGGCCCACCAGACTCACAGAACACCAGCTATGCTGGATGGGACTCGTCACCTTTCTCCCTGTTTTTCATATCCACTGCGGAGGTCGACCAGTAGTCCCGCTCAGGCAACCAGTTCTGCTTACATGAATGTATGCACAGAGCCGCTGGAAGCTTCCAGCGGTGCTCCCAGAGAAGGGACCTGGCCAGAACAACCTCCGTGACCCACGGAGCCAGCCGTGGCGAGCCCAGACTTCTGACGGCCCTAGCCCGTGGAAGGCCTTCCGATGGGTCGTGGCGGTGGGGGGTTGTCATGGTGGGTCCGATCGAGGGCCAGCGGCCACGGCTGTCAGTGGGGGCCGAGTGGGAGGGAAGCCGCCACCTGCGTGTTTCCCCGGAGCTCTGCTGCATGGCGATGGGACGGCGGGCGGCCGCGGGGTGTTCCTGGCCGGGTAGGGCGCTGCCCGGAGAATGGACCCGCAGCTCAGTATGCGGGTGGGCTGCGTGGCCGTGCGGTTTGGTCCTCTTGCGCACACAAGGACGAAGTCCGGTGTAAACGGACGAACGAAGGGAAGGCCCTGCGACCGCGGACGTGGGCTCCTAGTCTTATGTGTCGTTTGCAATGCCTCGTGGAGGGAGGCTACCGACGCCGCGCCAAGTTTGGTCTGGATCGCCCGAGGCGCCGCCTGTTTTCCAAGTTCACCTTGGAACTCGGAGGTGTGGGAAACTGCGGTACACAGCACTGAGGCGAGGCGAGGCGAGAAAGTGACCGACCCCTTCCTTCCTAGTGCTGGTCTACCCACCTTGACCCCACGGCTGCAGGCGAGGGCCGCGGGTGGGGCGCCTGACTCCCTGGCCGGGAAATCCGGGGATCCCCAGTCCCTCCAGTCTGTGGTCTCTCGCGGGACCCTGGTGCGCCCCCCGGCCCTGCACACTCAAACCGCAACCAACGGGAGGGACTCCGCCTCCCTGGGAGAGGAGGGTGCCTGCATGCGAGCCTCGCCCGGCACCCAACCGCGGCCTCTGCCCGAGCGGCGGCTGCAGGGGTGGCGCGTCCCCACCGGGAGGACGGGTGACCGCGACGTTGGCACCCACGCGGTTCTTCTCTCTTCGCCCCCTGAACCGGCGTCCTCTGACTCAGAAGGCCAAGTCGCCGAAGAGCTGTCCGCGGCCCAGTGCGGCCCCAGCCCCTTCTCCGAGAAAGGGGAGTGGACACTGAAGTCCCTCCCAGACAGCGAGAGCCACACTTCGCATTGGTGAGTGCGCACGTGTGCTGACAGGCCCAGAACGGGGCGTGAGCAGCAGCCAGCCCGAGGAGTAGTGCTCTGTGGAGCAGGGCGGCAGCGGGGAGGACCGTGGATGATCTTGGAGAGCCATGTCAACTCAGCCGGTCCCTTGCCTTTTAGAAGAGGAGATGGGCCAAGGTTGGCAAAAGTCTGTTCCACCTCTAGCATTCACGGCTTCTAGAAGGCTTGGCCCAAGGTTGCTCTGGGCAGCTTCCTGAGGGGTGCGGCCAGTACCCTTCTCCAGCAAGGGCTGCTGCCGGCTCCCTCCGTTTTTTGTTCACGTTTTTCTCCCCTGGGGCTGAGGTTCCCTTTGGGAAGCGGTTACCAAGGAAGCTAGCCACTTCTGGGCTTGGCCTCCTGACCTCCGCGAGAGAACCTGGACCCTTGCAGTCAGTTTCTGCCCGCACTGCTGAGGTCTGAGTTGGGAAGCAGCACTAGACACACTGATAACGTTTGGATCTGCAGGTCCCCGCTTAGGCCGGTCTTTCTGGAAGTGTGTGCCCTAACCCAGAATCACGTTAGAAATGTACATGTGGATCTACAGAATTAGAAATTCAGGGAGCCCCTCACCTGTAGTTTAAGAAGCCCTCAGGTGTTTCTAATGTACCCCAAGGGGAAACTAAATCAAAACCCACTGCCATGCTTCTGTTCTGACTCCCAGTGACTTTACAGATCAGAGAAGAATTGCCTGCCTCTTTGGGTTTCCAAGGTTGTAAATGTTGATGCTCCCGTCCCTGACTCAATGCAGATTCATAGTGACCCTCTAGGGCTGTGTAGAACTTCCCTGTGAGTCTGAGACAGTTACTTTTTACAGGAGTAGAAAGCCCTGTCTTCCAAGGAGCTGCTGGTGGTTTCCAACTCTGACCTTGTGGAGCGCAGCTCAGTGCCCAAGCACTTTGCCACCAGGGCCCTGTGACTTGTCAGGATGTGTGCCTGGGTGTATCCTTTCAGCGTACGTATTCAATCTGTGAGGAGCCCTGGTGGGATAAGGGTTCTGTGACGGGCTGCTAGCCTCAAGGTCAGCAGCTTGAAACCACCAGAAGCTCTATGGAAGGAAAATGGGGCTTTCTACTCCCTAGAGAGTTACAGTCTCAGAAACCCATAGGGGCGGGTGGCTAGGGGTCAGCATCGACGCGATGACAGTGAGTTTGGGGTTTGGGTTTTATTTATCTGTATTTTGAGCAAATAATCCAAGAAATTAGACTATGAAAAACACAGCGTCTGGATTGAAGGAAGGTGGTGTGCAGGTGACGTGACCTTACTTGCTGAAGACTTGAAGCATTTGCTGCTGACGATCAGTATGGATTGCACCTGAAAAGAAAGCAGAACACACAGGCGGACCGATAAGCAATAGCACAGTAAACAAAGGTTGAACTTGTCAAGGATTTCCTTTTGTTTGGATCTATAATCAGCATCCACCGGAGTGGCAGTGAAGAAATGAGTTGCTGTACTGCATGGGGCAAATCTGCTGCAAACACTCTCTTTAAAGAGTTAAAAAGCAAACATGAGAAGTGCCGTGTGCCTGACCCGAGTCACAGTGTTTTCAGTTGCCTCTTCTGCATGCAAAAGCTGGCCATGAATAAGAAAGACCGAAAAAGAGTTGATGGCTTTGAATTATGGTGTTGCTGAAGAATACTGAATCTGAGGGAAAGTCACATGGATTCCTATAACACATTGGAAACATCTATTAAGCAAAACATCAAAATGTGAAGCTATTGTTTCTCACTACATCCTTCATTTAAGTCTACACACTTCTGAAGGCAATAATTTCATCTCTTTTACCCTTCCCCTGTATAATTCTGTGCTCTTCCATTTACACTATGTCAAAACCGCTTTGGCATCCTTGATGGGTTCAAATCATGTTCCTTTCAAATATTCTTTGACTTTTAGGAACAAAAAGAACTCTGAAGGGACAAGAGAAAGGCCGTAAGGTGGATGGAGTGAGGTTTCCCAATGAAATTCTCACAGGGTGGCCCTTGCTGCCTTCAAGGAGTGAGCAGGTGCGTTGCTGTGATGAAAATAATTCCTTGCCACATATTCCTTGGCCTTTCTTACACCAAGTAAGCCCCTGTGATTGCCCTGTGTCTTTCCAGAAAAATCTATCAAGATGAATGACCCCCTGGGAATCTCCAAACATTGTTGCCATAACTTCTGGGCTGACTTCTAGCCCTTGAACTTAACTGGTCCAGCAGATCCCCTAGGAAGCCACTATTTTGACTAGGCCATTAAAATTTTTTTTTATTTTATTTTATTGGGGGCTCATACAACTCATCACAATCCATACATACATCAATTGTATAAAGCACTTTTGTACATTTGTATATTACCCTCATTCGTTTTTTTAAAATTACTTTATTGAGGGCTCGTACTTTTCTTATCACAGTCCATACATCCATTCATTGAGTCAAGCACCTATGTACACCTGTT